CGGATATGTGCCGATGAAGGTATGCGGACCGTTGTCCAACATAATCTTATGTGCTGCCGCCGTCATATGCGCCATTGCCGTTGTTTATTGCGTTATGACACTTATCATACTTGTACATCATGTACCTGATACATCTGGAATGATAGAGTATTGTGTACTCTTTCATAACAGTCAAGGCAAAGACTCCGCATTAATCATCAGACTTCCGCTGATCACATCGGCTATCCGGATGTTCGCCGGAGGCGGGCAACCGTAAATAGGCCAAAAATTAAGTTCAGGTCTGATTTTGATGGTATTTAACTGCCACCTCTAGCTCATTTTGCCATATTTTCTCCGAAATGCTTAGCCTCAAAATAACAGGATATATAATGATATGACAAAAATGAACAAACTGTATGTATGTGCATACAAAGCACGCCTAGTTTTGCAGGACCACGCACAGTAAGATGGGTCCCGTACGAAAAAAGCATGCATACGAATCTTGCAATCGGATGATCGGAATACGATTATGTTTCTTGGGAAGGTGTCAGCACTGTGGTGTGCCCCTTCCCCTCCCCCTTCGCGAAACCCTGAATCCGACACTGATTGGCAGTGCTGATACATCTGTAAGTATTGTTGTCGGCACCGATCTGGTGTCGATCAGGCGCTGATAGGAAGAGAGAAACGCGTTCTCGTGAGAGAATGGGGGACGGATCCCGGATACGAAAACTTTTCGGCGGTTATCCTATGTATTGGTATTTAGCTCAAGATGTATATACATATATATGTATATATAAATATATGTATATGTATATTTTTCAGCGGGCATCCTATGTAATGGCATTTAGTTCAAGATGTATATATATATATATATATATATATATATATATATCATGTACCTCGGAAATCTCATTCATTTGTTTATGCATTCCTAACGGCAGACTGTTCAGAACATATGTAGCAATCGCAACTCGTATATGCGCACATACTCGACACACCTAAATCTAATTGGCAAAACAGATACATTCCATTTCATGTAAAACAGAACATACTCCTAGTACTCCTAGTACTAATAAAGTACTCCTCCACGCACCATTTAAAACAATGGAGCCCGACGTTTCGCCAAGATCGCTTAGGTAGATGCTCTCCTGTTGGGAATGTCTTAACCTCACTTGTTTCAATGAGCACGCATTGCGAGCTTGCTGTACTCCTGGGATATGTTGTTCTTAAAGGGAATACTTAACATTTGATGAAATTGAAGCAAGCATCAGACACGATGACAAAAGCTCACTTATAACTATTTATATGTTTTTAAATAGAAAGGACTGATCTCTGCAACACTATTCCACTGTTTACATAGTAAACATGCTCCTCGATGCGTCATCGTTTGATTACGTCATCGTATCTTCCAAAACATTGATTGAGAGCCGAGTGACGGCCGTTATATCTGGAAATCGTGCTCACGAAGGCCAAATATGAACGAATCGACCATTTTGTGTTTTTCTTGGCCTTGATCTCCGTAGTTGTCATCGCAGTTGTCACTTTCTTTGCTCCTTTTTCCTGTTGCACAATTATCAGTAACCTTTGAAATGTATACATTTTTTAACTCTCACTTTCGATGTTCGGCTTGTACATGCCTAAGCATCAGAAAGCTTGGGGTCCAAATTTACTTTGGTGGTGCCAAAATGGGCTCTGTGGGGGAGAGCCTGGTCCACCCAAAAGAATAGAAATCGACATCCGTGCCTGTGCCAGCACTCCAAACGCGCCACCCAGCCGGCAACGAAGATGCGGGCGATCGAGATGGCCCGAATGCCCGCCACACGGATGGCTTTCATCCGGCGGGCGAACCGGTCGGTGCACGTAACCGGGTACGTGGGACTGTCCGACGGGGACAGCAGGCCGACGCTGTCGATAAGGACGCTGTCAAAACGAAGCGTCCTGCGGCTTGAAACCATGCGTGTGTGTGTGGGTGGGGGGGGGGGGGGGGCTGTGTGACGATGTACCTTGGCACGCTGGCAATAGCCACACGCCCGAGTGCACACCTTAATGTCCCAGGGCATGGAAGGCCACACAAACCGTTGGGGTCTTGTTCCAAGTTCTTGCGTCCTGCAAAGTTCTGGGACGTGACAGACCGTGCAGGAGCCGATGGCATCGTCTCCAGAGGCTTGCTGGCACCAGCGGGCGGGGTTCGCCCGTGGACTCGTAAACCAGGAGCTTGCGTACACTCGCCAGCGGGGTGTCAGACAGGGCCAGCGAGGATTGTGAGCTGAGGTGCGTCTGAAAGGCGTCATCCTGACTTCCTCTGTCTACCTGACTTTCTCTGCCTAAGGTCGTCAAGATCGTTCAGCGGGAGCCGCGCTGCCTGTGCCATGGTGACCGTCCGCGAAAGCTCGTCAGCCACCGTGTCCATCTTGTCCGACTCGTGCCTGACGTCGATTAAACATTGACCGATGAAGTCAAGGTACCGGATCTCCCTGGACGAGAAGCGGTCAGAGCTGTATCCAGGGATGTCACGTTCTGAAGGTGGTTGGGATGGGGCTGAGCCAATAAAGTTGACTTAACCTACCCTCGAATATTTATTTCTTCCCGCATTTCGGCTACTTTGATTTGCGTCTCTAATGTCAAAATTAAAATTAAGAAATTGGTCGATTTCAGAGCTGTTTCGATCTTGAGAAATGACTTCATACCATTTGAAACATACTGAAAGTTATGATATATGATAATGGTAATAAAGATGATGGTGTGGTTGAAACCTAATATACCAGTTGTTCAGAAGACACTTGCTGCATTTCATTGGTGCGGTATTCCTTTTTTTGCTCGTATGCATGGGGAGGGGGGTGGTGGAGTGGGGTCAGAGAGCACTAAGGCGGCTGAAGTCAAAACGTGGGGGGGGGGGGGCTCAGGCCCTCGGACTCCTGCCGCCTCCTGGTGACACCGCTGACTGGACCCGATCGCGGACGCCACGGGCATGTGATCCATGAAGATGTTGGAGTTGCGAATATCGACGCAATGCCGGAAGTTCCTGATCGCCTGACACACAAGCCAGAATCTCCCGGCCGAAAGTGCTGTACCGAGCCTCTGCCGGCTCCCGAAGAAGAACCTTCTAGAAGAACGACGGGTCTCCCAACGGTCAGCCCCGAATTGCTGGAGTATCGCTCCGATTTCTGTGTCAGAAGCGTCGACCTGTAGAGTGGGCACCCCCGATGTCTGATGTGCGAGTCGGGTAGCCCGCACTAGAGGCTGACTGCTAGCAGGTACCCCCTCTCCAGCACGAGGGGGCTTACGCCCCCCCCCCCCTGGAGGTGGTTGGCGCCACCAACTAGCCTTCGGTCAAGTGCACCCCAGAAGGCTCTGCTCGCAGGGGGGACAGGACAGTGTCATAGGAGGCCTTGCTGTTGCCTGGTCGTCCATCGGGGGCGGTTGCTCTCACTTGGAGAGCGGAGGCGCTGGAGAAGCCCGTGAAACCCGGCCACACTGAACCAGGGTCAATCTGACGTTCTCCCGTCCCCCAGAGGAGGCGGGGTAGGCCTCACAGATGGCACAACCTCTGGGGGAGCATTCACAGCCGCCGGAGTCGGCGCAGCGGTATTTGCTGAGGGAGGCAGCGTGATCCTTGCCGCAATTTGAATACTTCAACCTCGGACTGGTACACCACGAAATATCGGGACTGGTGCTTCGAGGACGCGCACCTTGTGCACCAGGGGTTTCTTCGACAGCTGTCTGTAACATGGCTAAAAGATTGACGGCGGAAACAGCGGTGTAGGTCTGGAATGCGTGCCCTGATTAGGACTGAATGGCATCCCACTTGGACTTCTGGCGTAAATGTTGGCCGGAACGGGACAGAAACTTCACATGGGATCGAAACTTCATAATATGAGTCCCAAACGCAATAGAATGGTCATCACGCGTCTATCATTTTCACGTGCATGCGCGCGTGCCACGTTTTACGCGTCACGTTTTAGGTTTTGCATGCGATCTACACGGATATATGTTACTAGATCAGGCACAATCATTGACCGGGCGACCGCCAGGCGCTCAGAGCAATTATGCAATGGCATGTTCAATCACCAAAACAATATAATGGTGGGCGCATGTCTAGAATTCTTGAAAACTTGTTCGTCTGTCACGCCTGTGCTTATTTGGGTAATCTTGCACCTAACCTGCAGGGAGGTCTATTTGGAACTATATAGTTATCAAGCAGAAGTTCCGGTCTCGTAATGCGAAATTTCGGACCGAGCGATGACGAAAATGACGGAGAGACCAAATCTGACATTTTCACTTACAAGTGCTTGTGTCACGTGTGTAACGCGCTGGTCGGTGTCGCAGCTGATCTGCAGGGAGTTGCGTTATTCGACTTCGCGGTTGTGGGCAGTGGGGATGCCTGTAGCCTAGACCGATTTGAGAGTGGAAAATTTAGACTGGAAGATGACAGGACGGTAGTACATGTTATTGTGGGAACACCTATAATAGTCTAAACATCTGTAGTTTGTTCTTACGTCTGTCACGTGCGTTTGTTCTACGCAACGTCTCTTACGTTCCGCACATGCTCGGGTGCAGCTTGCCGCCGCTTCACTGGCCAGAGAGTCACTTAGCTGATATACGTTTCTGGCGGACAATAAATACAATGTTTTTATATTTTTAAAATAATACGCAAATTTTTGAGTTTTTATTTAGATTCTAGAATTTCATTTTCCATTTTATTGTTTCTTTCTTGGGTAACAAATGATTGAAAACAAGATCCACTAGGTTCTGCCCAGAATAACCCGGCATGAATACCGGAAGATCATAGGGTAAACCTTATAGCTGGAGACCGGAATGATGAATAGCTTCAAGCGTTCAGTAATTATCTTTATTGAAATAAATATATGTATATTTGAGTAAGTTTTTGAAAAATATGAATTTATTTTTAGATTTTTCAGTAATAAGGCGGTTAATTTATCCATTGTAGTCAGTACCCGCTAGGTTCACCGCAGGCCGTAACCTCTGTTGCGCTGCCTTCGACTCTGTGATATAGTAGGGCCATAGCCTTGAGCAGGGCAGGGGAAGACTTCAAGACAAGGAAGGGATGGTCGCGTGCGGAATTTTGTGCGGAGGGCGGTCCGTGAAGCTGCGTATATGATCCACGATAAGGTCTGTATTAGTTACACGCATCGTTTTATTGAACTCGATTTTAAAAGGACGCTTAATGCGTCATGTATCCTTCCATTATCCTTGGACTTGTCCTGGATGTTGCCAAAACTACGAAGCGTTGTATTTGTGGATGTTCCTGCTTTCTTGCTCCGCCTCTTGGTTCGTCTTGACTGAGACACTGGAAATGGCTGATAGATTTTTAAAGGAGTGTGCATTGACATTTCAGGCATGTGTCTTTTTTCAGGCTGTTAAAGTTAAGAATTGGAGGAATCCTGTCATTGTGCATACGTTATGATGGTACCATGCCATATCATTTTTGGAACATACCATTGGTGTGCTCCAAAAATATCACCTAATAACAGTGATAGATTGATGTTTGCAGCAAACTGTATTTGTTTTGATGATGCAGTTAATGGTAGAGTGGGGGGTTAAATGTCAAGTTAATTTAATTATAAGCTAAATGCTGCCCTTTGGCTTAAATTAGAAGCATATACAGCTTTTTATTTGCATCATTTTGATTGCTCATGATGAGCATCTACTTTTTCTTTCTTTGATTTAGATATCTTGCTATCATGAAATAATAAAGCATGGCCCATCACAAAATTGACCAAAACAAAAGAAATTGATGATCTTTGCCATTATAAGCTTTTCAAAAATATATGTATGATTAGACCATGCTCAGAGGTGAGTAACCTACAGGCATTTTGCAAATCATTTTCCAGTTTTTTTTGTGTTCACTTATATGTTTTCTTGTTTATTGTAATAAACTTAATCACCATTTATTTCTTGGGTAGTGTATTACCAACAGCATTTATCATGAATATTTTTAATATTGATTTGCAATAGCCTGAGTGCAATGTAGAGCATAGACCTCACTAACACAAACTATTCCAGTTTAATGGGAATTTTACATGTTAAAAGATATGCAGGAAAGCATCAGAAAGCATAAAATAAGCTCACTTACAACTTTTGGCATGCTGTTCAAATGGAGAAGACTGCTCTATAGAGCACAATACTCTGGTTTGTCAGATATGAACTTCTCAACGATTATATTTTTATTGGCCTTTGATTGCATTATTACATGCCATATGGAATGGCAGGATTTGAATGATGTTATTATAATATTGATGTCAAGTCATCAATCATATCATATTATGATATGATTGATGACTTTGAAATACTCCCCATATACATTACTCCAAAATTAATCCAGCAGGGTGTGCAGGATGTAAATATAATGCATGCTGCCAGAACCCTGGCTTTCAGTGGTCCCCAGTTGATGCTAAACTGTTGCCTTTTGACCCCAAATCCAGACATCTGACCTGCCCAGCCAGTTTGTCAATCCTGAGGCACTAAGAGAATGGGTTGACAGCTGCCCAGTTAGTTGCTGATTAGCCAATTTTAAGCAAGGAGAGGGGCAACCAGCAACAAGCCTTAAGTCAGGGTATAATAGTATGGAGTTGTATCGATATCCCTGCCACCCAAGTGGTAGAATGTTGTAACACCACCCTGATATACCTCTCACCATTTTTTCAGGCATGTTACTCAGAAACTAGATGGGCATAGGTCTTAAGAAGGGCAGGATTGTGAATAGCACTGAAAGGTCTTCAAGATGGCCGTTACAGCTCAAAACCCGATATAAATGTGGAACACTGTCTTTAACCAGAGAAGCAGCTGATATTGTTGGGCCCCTGTACTTAGCTAGGATCCTGAATATTTAGTATATGACCACAGTGCTATAAGGTCCTGCTTAATTTGGTAGCAGTCATTCCATAGGTAAGATAGTTGCATCATTGCCCCTTCAGATCCATGGCATGACCATTATTGTATCATGCTTTGAGCACAAACAGGTAAAGATGTTACATACATCACCTAACATGTCATTATTGTCATGTGGTCCTGAATACCACTGTGTTGTTGGTTTGCCTTGAGTTTTCTTGGGACTCTAGTTTCTGGTTAGGTCTGTGTTGAGGAGGCATATAGGCTGTTTTTGCTTTATATATTGAGACTTGTAAATGTCATAAGCAGGTAGCAGGGTCTACTAAAAGGTATTCTGGGATCCATTATGAGGGCATACAGTTGGTCATGATCTGAAATTTAATGCCGCCATAGATCAGATGAAGTCAGGGGCCCATACTCAATGTCCAGATGCATGTTAGGCTGATATTTTGGGAGTCTTTAGATGATCTCTGATGCCTTTTATCACTTTTGTAGTCCAGAGGCATACATAGAAGCAATACATAGCTTAGAGGAAGAGTGGGCACAGAATACATTGCATGTTGTCACTTGTATGCTGCTTGATGGAAGCATTGGTTATGTTGTCTCAAATGCCTGGCTTCAAGCATTTATCCCCCAAGATCATCATATCTGCTTCTCTGTGGATCACTGGTTATTCCACAGGTACTAGGTCAGGGAGATGCTTCTGAATGATGATGATGCACTACACATCATGTTGGTCCCTCCAGCTAATATTTGGAGGCCCTCAGCCACTTTATGGCTCCTCATCTCTGGAATGTGCCATGTTTGTATAATATCTTAACCAGCTTAATGTCCATGGTGCCACATGAATAACAACTTAGGCTGTCATGCCTGTAACATTGCATAGTTTGGATTGCTGGTAAATTTCAACCATTATTGCAGATCTGCACTGTTGACAGTGTTGTGTGCTCCCATAAATGATTTTCACTGTGATATGTCAAGCTGATATGAGACCACCAATCCCCCTGATATGAGGACAAAGAGCCTAATATGCTGGCTGCAGTGGTTATCCTTATCTCCGTCCTCACCGCAATGTGCGCGATATGCTGCAATCAGCTCAGGTGCAACTGCCGGCTCAGGGCGCACCTGGCGCGCAAATCCCCTGCACGCGCGGACGCCGTATCAGCGCCTGGGCTGGGGCCACGGCGCCGCCGTATCGCGCCCTGCCGCGACACGCGAGTCGTTCACGTGGTGACACGAGCCCGTGCGCCGATCGCGGCGATACCTCCCCGCTCCGGAGCGGCGCGCGCGGCTGGCGCCCGCCGACCAGTACGGTCGGCGCCGCCGGCGGGGGCCGGTCCTGTCTGTGCTGGCTGCGCCTGTCTCTCCACCTCTCTCCGTCTCACCCGGGGCGTTCGGCCGGCAGCGGGCGTCATGACGAGCCGCATAGAGAGCGCGCCGGCGGCTGAGCGCTACTTCTGCACGCTCAGCCCGCTCTGCAAGCGCATCATCTCCAACGTGCAGACGATTCGCACGCTGCACGCGGACGGCTGGGATGAGCTGAGCTACGCCGACCAGTGCCAGGTCATCGACGGCCACATGGTCAACCAGGTGAGCACCACCGGGCGCACGGCAAGGCGAGGTGGCTGGGCTCGATTCCCGCCGCGGGAATTATTCGCTGGCAGGCGGTTGCCACCGGTGTGTTACGATGCCAGTCACGAGATGTTACTTGCGTCGTTGTATTACCTAACCAGTCCGTAAGGGGGTCTCGCCAGAGTGTTGGAGGGCAGCGGCAGAGTCAGCCTCTCGAGCCCGACTGAACCTCCCTGTGCCGGTGCAGTGCGAGACGTGGACGGAGGTGGGGGTGCGAGGTTGGGCCTCCATGCATCTCTACACTCATTTCGGCTTTGTTGACCGATAGAACACAGGAGGCCCGACAAGAGCCCTACTCAAGATATCACACTCAAGCAGTTCGTAACTATTATGATTGATATGTGTACATTGCACTACACCTGGTTTGCCCGCCGAACACAGAGCAAAGACGCTGGATGCATGTCCAGTGCTACCGTATGTCGATGCTTTGTGTGAGCTTGGATTTTAGTTTCAAACAGGAAAAGCTTATATCGACGACGAGACGGTAGGGCGGCGGACGGAGTAGACGCATAAGATCCGCCAGAGGGTAACTGTCTCAGCGTCTGGTGCGGACGCTTGCCCAGTTGGCTCACCTGGGAGTAGGCCCAGTATTGGATCAGCACACAACGCATGCTCTCATTGGCTCTGATCCCAGAAGCAGCTCACTTCGTCCCGTCGAATTAAATTCCCACAAAAACGACAGTCCCGCGAACGACCACGGTGACATTGAAGCATGCTGGGCCCGGCCACATCACGAATCATGAAGTTGTAGGTGCATTGATGTGAAAGCACCACTGATCGGAATAGGCTTACCTGGTTTCAAACCTCGCCTTTTCGCTTATTTCTTCTGAAGACCGTTTTCGTAGAATTCGCTATTGAGTTGGCACACCTTTCGCTTTTTGTAAAGAATGGCCCCAGACGTCGTGACCTCGTGACCCGTCGCGTCGTGACGAAGAGGAGAAGAAAGTGGTGTCGCAGGTGAATGTGATGCGCCAATCGCATGATTCCCTTGTGAGCCTGATGACGGGGGCTCGTCTTTGATCCGATGTGAGTGAACACTCTATGGGTTGACCCTTTCGTCCGACGCCTGTGATCCTATTGGTGTTCTGTGGTACTGGCGCGTGGGGAGGTGCGGGGCGGCGGTCTTCAGGGCCTCAGAAATGGCTGGTGGTGCTGTCGAATATTGAAGCATTAGGTGCGGCCTTCCTGCGCAGCCGCCCAGTTTGAGACTCTAGATATGGCGGTGTAAAAAAACGCCGAAGCTGGGCGCGGTTTCCCCTCCTTTGCACACCCGCATGATTGATGGCGAAGATGCACGCCATGTAGGGCGTGTCCATGGGTACTCGCGCGTTTTAATATCAGCGGACTCCCCCCTCGAGTCCGTTCCTCCTGAACTTTGCATTCCTCCCTTGCAGCGCGGCTACCCACGCGCTGTTTGTCCGTTGCTTACGTCCAGCTCCGCACCCAGCGAAAGCGATGTGATATGACGATAACGATGGCGCCCATCCGGAATGACCAGTTGGCTTCAGCTCGCGCTATTCCCGGCCGTCCATCCGTCCCGCTGGCTCCAGCCCGCGCTATTCCCGGCCGTCCATCCGTCCCGCTGGCTCCAGACCTTGCTATTTCCAGCCGTCCATCCGTCCCGCCGGCTCCAAACCTGGCTATTCCGGGCCGTCCATCCGTCCCGCTGGCTCCAGCCCGTGCTATTCCCGGCCGTCCATCCGTCCCGCTGGCTCCAGACCTTGCTATTTCCAGCCGTCCATCCGTCCCGCTGGCTCCAAACCTGGCTATTCCTGGCCGTCCATCCGTCCCGCTGGCTCCAGCCCGTGCTATTCCCGGCCGTCCATCCGCCCCGCTGGCTCCGACTCGTGCTATCCTTCCGGACGTCCATCCGTGTGTGACCCGCTGGCTCCGGCCCGTGTCTGCCCGGGGCGTCTGTGGCGCCCAGCCCGGCTCAGCGCGCCCACGGCCGTGTGTCGCGCCTCGCACCGTCCGTGCCGTCGGCGGCCTTCGCGACGCTGCCGTGTGCCGGCGTCCCGGTGAGCCATTCATCATGCGCCGGCGCGCGCCGCCCGCCGCGCCGGCGTACGCCGCCGCGCTCAGCGAATCGCTCGCTCAGTGGACCGCACGCGCCGCCCGGCCGGCACCGCCGCCGCGCCAGTATTTGACCTTGTGAGGTGCCTGGTGCACGGCTTGGGGGGGGGGGGGCGACAATGGCGCTAGTGGCCTGCACGCGCGCTTTCAGTCCCTGAAATGGCAAACCGGCTCGCCAGGTCCTAACGTGTCATGGCGTTGTGCTTGGAAACGCAGGGCTGTTAGCCCCCGGCCCTGCGCTGGTCGCTGACACCAGCGATAGCAGCTGACTGGTCACCCTAATTGGCGCTCGCAGGGCGGCGCATCGCTGCAGATTCGCTGGTGGTAATGAACGGGTGCCGTGCCTGGGAGCCGCTACTGGCAGCCGCCTGCATGTGGCCAGCGGGAGGCAAAGGGAGCGCCTGGGAACCGGGGTGCCCGTTACCGGACCCTCGCGCTTGTGTTTACGTCTCGTGCAGCGGAGTGTGCAGCGAGCGTGCTGGGGCCGCGCATGGCCCCGCCGGCCCGGGCGCTGCTCGTCGCGGCCGACCGTCGCAGCGGCGGCGACGGCAGGACGGCCGGCGTCGGCCCCGCCCGCGGCTCGCTGTCGCCGCCTAACACAAACACGTCGGTCACCGGCGGCCTGGTGACGTCATCTCATGACACACGCGCCGCTGCAGCGCTGGCCGTCCCCGGAGGCCCGGCTGCGGTGACACGTCGACCGCAGAGCGCCGTTATCGGAAGGGTGGCCGCAGGGGGTGCACCGCAGTACCCCGTTCAACTGCTCCTATCGCCCGATGGATGACGCGCGCTTCCACTGAGCCGATCCCGCCGGATGTTAGGCCGGCTGCGAGGCTTCGCTGCCTCCGACCCGGCGGCTGTCGGCGCTGTGGTGTGCCGGCTTCTCGGCGAGGTCTTTCGAGGCCAGCGCCGTCGCTGACAGGCCGCCGTCAGATGGCCTGGCCTAGTCTCCGTATGGCGGGCACGGGTTGACAGGCCGGCCCAGACCTGGCCTCGTATCGGACGGGCGGAAACCGGGTCTGTTTCCGCTGCGAACGCCGCGCCAACTGGCGGGTTCTGTGTGTTATGGTTGCCCGCGGCCCCGCGCGCCGACTGCGTCCGGGCGTTATGGCCGCCCGGGGCCTCCCGCCAGCCGTCGAGCCCGGCGCTGTGACGCCATTGACCTGGATAGCGCAGGCACCAGCGACCACGGTGTGGGACGGCGCCTGTCGGTAATCGGCTTACGCGCAGTTACGGTGCGCTGGCGCCGCCGGCCTGCCACAGGAGTACATTGTCTTTCACAGGCGGCGGGTGTCGTTACTGTGTGTGGCGGCCGCCTCAGACCTCGAACAGCTGGCTTTCACCCAAGATTTAGTCGATAGGACGGGAAGACTATGTGTCTGCGTATGGTTGTCCTGTGTACCGCAGCTGGCGGGCCAGCTGACATGCAAAATTCAGTTGGCCAATCTGTTAATCTCGAATTCAGTGAGGTAATCTGTTAATCGTAAATTAAATGCAGCAGGCAATCTGTTAATCATATCTGGGTAGTGCTTCCCGCAGCAGATAGCCCGTTGCGACCTCTTGAGCGTGATCTGTGTACGGTTTGCCAGGCAGGCCGCCCGCTGTGACCTGCGACTCTGACCTGGTTACCGTTCCCGGCAGGAAACGGCCGACCACTGGCGCCGCCTGTCGCGCCAGCCCTGGCGACGGCGCCCCCAGCGGCTGGAACTCGACCCCGCCGAAGGTGGTGGAGGACGAGGACCCGGAGACGGGACAGGTGAGCCCCCCCCCCCCCCCCCGCCCTCTCGCCGGGAGGCGAGGGGCCGGAACATGGCCGGGACGTCGGCAGACGAGGTGCAGGCCTCAGGCGGGTGTGGTGTATATCACGTCCGCATGTCAACGCTGGTTTGCCGTGTACGGATCCTTCTGCTGCCGCCACTAGTGAATCATCCACATGACACCGGCGCCGCCCCCGGCGTCAGCCTGGCGTGGATCTTGTGTGCACTGCTCTCAGGAAACATGTCAGGAAGACTTTTCAAGGCGACAGTGTAAATTTACGAATAGTTTCCATGTTGACTCCGTTGTTCCAAGGCTATTTCCATTGCCGCACATGCGGAACGTCCTGGCTTCGCCGCATTCCCCGGGGCGTGCTGCCGCGGTCCATGCGATTGCACGTGTGCGGCGGCCACAAAAAGCATGCCGTCACACTCACGAGCCGGGAAGTGCGCACATTGTTCCCGCCACCAGCCTGATTGGCCTCGGCAGCAATGACCCCAAAACCCCGGTCATTGGTTATGTTTTGTGCTTTTAACTGCCATTTTTGCGGTGTGCTCACGATCACGATTGGAAGTGAAAAGGTGCTACACAAGCAGCTGTGTTCATTATGTGCCAGGGTGTCTGAAGAGAGCGCATTGATAGAGACAGGGTCTGCGGACGGCGCGAGCTCGCCTGCCGTGCCCGTGCCGTGGCGAGTGAGCGTGTGGCGATGCTGCTGCAGACGGTACGGTGGCGGGACGAGCACGCGGCACCCTTCTCCTGGCGCACGCCCAGTCAGGAGCGCGTGGCCGCCAGCTGCCTGCAGGCCGAGCAGGAGTCGCCTACGCACCGGCAGTCGTTCGTCGTCCGTGACAGCATCAGGAACAGACTGTCCAGGTCAGGGAGGCGCTGCTCTGTCCACGGCGGCTCGCCGAGGGCGCAAGGCGTCCGACATAATGTCTGGGGTGGCGGATTGAATGTTGTCAATGCCGTCATCTCGCACGCTCTCCGACAAGTTTTGGCTCATTAGCGGTGTTTCGATGATCGACACAGACTCATGACACCAGCTGCAGGCTCTCTGTATTCCTCTTGATGTCGATGCATTCGGCACAACCTGAGGTGTGGAAGACCGGCCCTGTCATACCTTCTCTAGTCAAATCTCCATTTCTGTCAGCACCTGCTGATGGAGTGGCTTGTGGGCCTTCAATACGCCAGCGCCAACGCTGGCAGTCTTGCCGTGACAATGTCACTCAATGTGTCGTATTGGCCATGATACCTCAGCATTTTGTCGATGAGTCAGCTATGACAAGCATGTCCTTGTTTAAAAACAAATGTATGGTTTTCGCTACTGCAGTACGATCCATGGTGATCGCTTTGATGCAGTGCAATGTCGTTATTTTATCTGCTTGCTGAGCACAAAAACATTGGCATGCAGTTTCATTGCTTCATGTGGTTACAACTTGGGTGCATGCATCAATTCAAATAGGCGCTGCTCTAAAAACAGCGTCGTCGTCGTGGATGGGGCCTATCTATGTCGCCGGCCTTGTGTTGTGGGCATCTGGCGCCGCGCTCATGACCTCACTGTTTATGCCGCGCTGGTTCCGTCGCCGCAGGGTGGAGCACATGTACGAGAGCTACTCTCCCAAGCGCACGGTCGGCGAGCGTTTCGACTCACCTAGCCTGGTGCTGGGCGGCTCGAGCGGCGCGGAGCCGGCCGCCGCCAGCCGCTTCGCTCAAGCAGCAGGTGCTGGCCCGGCTGGCGCATGGCCGGCGCGTGTTGCTCTCCATCACCCGGCTTGGCAAACAGCCGGCGGCGGCGGCGGCGCGGCCCGCCCACCTGCGTCCGGCCCGAGATCTCGCCGCCTCGGCCCGGCTTCGTCACGCCTCAGCCGGTCATCTCCGCCCCGCAGCCGGAGGTAGTCGTCTCCGCAGCCGGCCAGTCCGCTCTCCGCAGCCGGAGGCGGCCTCGCCGCGCCACGTGAGCAGCTCGGCCAGCTTCCGGCGGCTGACGAAGCCGTCGGCTCCGCCGCCGCCGCCGCCCGTGCAGGCGGCGCTAGTGCCGATCCGCACGGCGGCGGCACACGCGCCGTCGGTGCGCACGGCCAGCCAGTATGCGGCGCCGGCCGGCGCGCCGCCCTCGCCGCCGCCGCCGACGGCCGGCGCGCGCTGCTTGCCGACGCCTCCGCAGCTGAAGCGCGTGGCGCCGCCGGTGGTGCCGCGCCGCGACGAGCCCACCCCGGAGCGGGAGGTGGAGCCGCGGGCGGACGGTGACGGCAGCGAGCTGGCGCAGAGTCCGCGCGACGAGCCGCCACCTCCGTCTCTGTACCGACGGGAGCCGACCCCTGACTCGGAGCCGCTGTACCGCCGGGAGCCGACCCCCGAGTCGAAGCCGCTGTACCGCCGGGAGCCAACCCCTGACTCAGAGCCGCTGTACCGCCGGGAGCCGACCTCCGAGTCGAAACCGGAGCCAGAACCAGAACCGGAACCAGAACCAGAGTCCGGGCAGGAGCAGGCCGCGTTCCACAGCGTACTGGAGCAGCCCACGGAGGTACGGGAGCCGCGATACGTTATGATCACGGGCATTCGTTTCAGGAAAGGTGCGCCACCCGTGCTTCAGTGTAAGTATGCTCTTTCTGGCGTTGATGCCAAGTCTGTAAATGTCTGTCTCCGTCTTTCCCGCTATTTGCAAACGGCATGTCGTCTTTCTGACCCGTACTTGACATGAAAAGGGGTATTGTACGAACAACATTCCGGAATTTACGGCTCTGTGTGCTGATATCCACATTCGCCACTGTATGTGGTTACTCCAAAGATGCTGCTCGGAAGGCCTGGCGTCCGTGGATTAGCTTCCCGGGTGTCGTTGTCGGCCCTTGGAGCGTCAGCGTACTATTTATTCAGTTCTCCAACTCAACATGGGAGTCAGTCGTAGTCCGTAGGCCGTGTGGACTCGGCCGCGCGGAGGGCGCCGTCCCGTGCGGGGCGCCGCTAGCGAGGCCAGTACTCGAACTCGAACGCCGGCTGCGCGCGGAGGCCGGCGCACGCCATGTCGGCCCAGCCCCAGTCGGCGGCGGCGAAGCTGATCCAGACGGCGCAGTTGTCCGGCTCGCCGCGCCCGCTCGGCTCCTGCAGCAGGCCGCGGCGCGCCCAGCGGTTGAAGTGGGTCGGCTCGCCGGTCGGCCAGCGCAGCCGCAGGCCGCGGCCGCGCAGGCCCAGCCAGACGAGCCGGGGGCCGGGCGCGGCGCGCAGCCAGCCGCGCAGCCGGCGCTGCTCGGTCGCGCTCGTCACTGTCAGCAGGTGCGCGCGCTGCGGCGGCTCCAGTGTCGCGCTCAGCCGCTGGCAGCGGGCGCGCGCCTGCGCCCGCGAGACGACGCTCTCGCCGCCGGCCGGCAGCATGTAGCAGTGCACGCGGCCGGCCGGGTCCCGCCAGGCGCGCCAGCCGTTGGGGCAGTCGGCGCAGCGCTGGGAGCGCACGGCGTACTGGCGGCCGCCGCCGCAGACGCAGACGCCGCGCCGGCACACGGCACCCGGCGTGCCGCGGCAGTGGAAGTGGCGTGCGCACAGGCAGCCCACCTGCGCGTACCGGCACAGCTCGCACACGTGCGGCCGGTAGCGCGAGCACGCGGTCGTGGCGCGCCACAGGCCCGAGCGCGCCGAGAGAGTGACGCACTGCGGCGTGGTGCCCGGCGCCGGCCGCGCCGCCCAGCGCCGCAGCCCGCTCAGGCGCCGCGCGTTACGCCAGGCGAAGCGACGCTGCCCGGCCGGCCGGCGCAGGCCGAGCCAGGCGGCCGAGGCGCCGGTGGCCCGTACCAGCCGCGCCGCCAGCGCGTTCTCGGCGGCCGTGAGCAGCGTGGCCGGCTTGCCGGCCCGGTGGTGCGCGCGGCAGACCATCGGCTGCGCGACGGCCGGCGAGCGCAGCTGGCGGTGCACGCGCAGGCACTTGTGCGCGGCGGCGGTCCAGCCGGCCGGGCAGGGCACCTCGCCGCCTGCCAGGCCGAGCAGGCAGAGCAGCGCCGCGGCCGCCGCCCGGCTCCACATCGTGTCGCCCTGTGACGGCGGCGGCGCCTCGGCCGCCGGCTCCGGGCTCCAGGCTCCGCTCGACGGCTGACTGACGGCAGCTCTGTGGTCCCCGTCGGCCCGGGACGGCCGTAAACACGCACGCTGAGATGGCTGGCGTGTTTTCAGTCGCCGGCGAGGCAGGTTCAGGTTCACCGGAGTGACGTTTGAGGAGTCGCTGTTTGTTGGCACCTGACGTTTGGTTGGCTCTCGCGCCAACTTCGTGACTTGGAAGGAGCTCACCGTCAAGAAACAAGTGCACGTTTCAGGGCTGATCAGGACGTGGCTCCCCTGCGATTAACATTCCGCTTGCTTTCGGAATTCACCATGTAAAAACTTCCGCTTCAGTATGAAACTGTTTTGTCCGCAAACGTGGGAGTAAGTGCGAGGCAACCCGTAGCACACATTGGTGCCTGTCTTCGCAGTTGTAGCCGGTGATCAAATGGCGGGAAATGGCCGGTGCAGCATGTTACGAATCCGCGATGCTCTCGGCCTCCCGGACGCCTCTGACCTCGCACTCGTTCCAGGTGGACATCAAGACCGGTTTCGACTTTCTGGACAACTGGTAGTCGGCCGCCTGCGGCAGCGGAGGAAAGGAGGGATGTGCGGCGTCTGCCGGCCCCTGGACGTCTCAGCCGGCCGTCCCGGCCCGGGCGGCGCCTACACCCCTGCTAGTTGCTGTGCCATGTATCCAGTCTCAACTGCCGGGTCAGGAGCCCGAGAGCTCATCAACAAAAACCCGGGCCGAACTGCAGCAGTCTGCCCTGTGCTCTGATGATGCAGTCGCCAGACAGCCTGCTGCCGGTGTGTACAGCCCAAGGCGCCTAGCTAGGCCTAAGGCGTCGATAAACATTCTGCAATCGCAAGTGTGGAAGAAACTCATCTTGAACTTAGCACATACGAGACGCTCCGGCCTCGGCCTGGAAGCGGCTGCCATATCGCATCGTGCCACTCTGCCCCGCCAGTGTGGCGTTATAACACAGAGGGCCGAATCTCACTGCGCGACTGCCCGCCTGCTGGGTCTGCCATCGCATCGAAGCTGGTCCGCGACCATCGCTGTGAATAGCCGACCGCGCCGCGCACTGGACCGCTCGCCGCGTGCGCGCGAGCCGGGGCCTTGGCCCGCGCGAGCGGGGCCGGTCACCCGGGGTCGTGTCCAGGCGGGCCGGGGCCTCGGCCCGCCCGAGCGAGGCCGGTCGCCCAGGGTCGTGCTTGCGTTTGCAAGCTGGGGACCCGGCCCGCGTTAGCGAGGCCGATCGCCCGGGGTCGTGTCCGCGCGGTCCGCGCGCTGCATGCCGTGTGTGGTTGTCGTGTCGTGTCGTGTGCGTGTCCCGACGCCGGTCCGTTTTCTACATTTGTACGCCACGCTGGCGGCGCGCCAGTTTTCAGTAGCCGGGCGCGCCGCCGAGTAACCGGTAGTGTGTAGTCAGCTCGGGAGCCTGCAGCGGGCGGCGGCCGGCGCGGCAGCAGAGGCTTTACTAACTGCGGAGAAACGGTCTAGTCAACGAGCTTGAGCGGCGACCGTGGTCGCCTGGGGCATTACGGGACCGGAACTCCGCCGCTCTCGGCACGGGGCCTTGCCTTTCGGCTGCTGGTGGACCTAGTCCGGCGGCGCGAGCATTTCGTACCGCGCCGCCTCGGGCCATATTTTGGTTATTTTTGTACATTGTCTATCAGTCCAGTCATCAATAAATGTTTGCTATGGTTTTCCTCGTGTATGCGCTGGCGCGGCCTCGTGACCGGTCCGTACGGAGCGCGCCCTCCTCGCGGCAAGTCACGGAACACGTCACACGAGCATGCAACGGCTCGTTTCGATTCTATTCACCAGGTTTAAAACGGGGACTTGCGGGCTGTGGCCAGACTGATCAGAACTGAGTTTTGCAACGCGGCAGATTGGACGGCACCTTTTTTCGACGCTGACACGTGTAACAGGGCCAAGGTAAGGCCCGAGCCAGTGCAAAGAAGCCCGATATTGTGAACTAACCCAATGGGAACGCAGCAGGATCCGGCCTCGCATCGTGGTCGCCGGTGCAGCCTCATATAGCTCGGTGCCGTAACAGCGAAAATGACTTCTGCTTATATACGCTCTGAGACGCGATTATTTCGTTTGAGTGACGTGGCGTGAAAGATGCAGCTTGATAAAAGTTCTCCACAAGAGTTGCAAGACCTCACTATGTGCGTGCACTCAAATTTTGCGCCGTGCCCAGTTTCCCTTCGACGTCCAGAATTCTGCGTCATTCGTCGCTGACATTCAAATGCCGCGAAATCGTCGGGCATGGAGCCAGCGTTATCTAGTTCGAGCCTCACCTCGCCCCTTGGGCTGTAACGTGGAGCAGATTTATGGCCTGTACACGCTGGCTGTTCGTTACCCAAGCTCTTGTCACCTGAGATGATTTGTGGCTGCCGCGGCCCGTGTTATTGGGCGAGCGAGTGACCGCTGCACACCGGAGACCCACGGCCGGTCATGCGGCGAGGTCGCTGCGCAGTACGCGGCACCTCCCAGCTCAAAACGACAGCTGTTCTCGCTGGTGGCCAACAAGACAGGCGCGCGCGGACCGCACTCAGGGGTGCCGACAGGATCTGCCTCTCCTCCACCTTCATGTTGTTGGTGCTGACGCCTGACGGTGTCGGTGGGCCGATCCAAGACTGAGGCACATCGCGTCATTACGTCCAGGTTCAGCTCATGGAAGGTCAGTTCCCCAGGTGCGGTAAGCAAACCGAAGCGGCTCCCCGGCCAGCTGTTGTTCTCGATGGACGAACTGTACTGGCCCTCACGCGGCTCGGGGACGCAACGGCGCTGACGTCATTAGCTCTCTTCGGGTGCGTTGCTCTTCAAAGGTCTTCTTTAAATTGTAAATTTCCGATGGAGAGGAAGGACTGCAAACCAGAGACCCTGTCAACACGCACTTAACACTTGCTGGGGGTTGAGGTGGGGGAAGCAATTTGACCCCCGTAAAGTTTTCCAGCTTTCCCCCCGAACGACACAGCGAAACTGCGTAAAACTTTGCACAGCTGTAGGCAGTCGAAAAGCGGATCTTTTGGTGTAAAAATCGGATGTACCTTGTAGGTTGCTGGGTTACGTCAGGTCAAAGTTAGGTCATGGCTGTCAGCGCAGGTCATTTCAAGGGAATCGTTCAACGTGATGCGGCACCCTAGTGTAAGACGAAGCCATACATCTCTGAGACAGCTTCTTAGGTATTAAACTAATCGAAGTTAGAATCACAACAAATTCGATTCACCTAAGCTCGTGTATGAAGGTCAGGCCGAAGTAAAAATAATCTGCTTTTTTATTCGAGAGCTTACTGTACAAAGTAATTTCTCGCGCCCATTTCAAACTTCCGATGGCAGGGTCCTCGACAGGTACGTTCCATGGACTTTTTAAAGGTCAGAGTACGCCAATGGCCTAAAATGACTCGGCCCAACATGTTTTTTTGGCACATTTCGTCTAGCGGTATGTCCTGACGCTGACTTGAATGGCAAAAACAGCAATCTTGTAGGTTTTTCTGTCACCTTGACCTCATAATTGTCAGACAAGGTCATCAGTCTTAAATGAACACCAATGATGTTTTGCTTAGAACAGGTATATAGATTCGCGGCGGTTGCATGATGACTAGGGCACTTTTGACACCAGCATAGAGTTCGGCCATATTTTATTGTAAGGCCACGACCTAGGAACATCAAGTTTTGACACAAGTGAGTTCAAATGCAGGTCACCACACCCTGTGATTTCGGTGTCTTTAGCTTTTTTAGTTTCCGAGAACTCATGGGAGGGTGTCAAATTGCCCCCCGCCCGAGCAAAGGGTATTCAGCCAGCCACCCTGGCGCCCACCAAGTGATTCGCGTGGCTCTACAGCCCACGCCCACCAAGTGATTCGCGTGGCTCCACAGCCGGCGCCCACCAAGTGACTCGCCTGGCTCCACAGCCGGCGCCCAAGAAGTGATTCGCGTGGCTCCACAGCCGGCGCCCACCAAGTGATTCGCGTGGCTCCACAGCCGGCGCCCATCAAGTGTTTCGCATGGCTCCACAGCCGGCGCCCACCAAGTGATTCGCGTGGCTCCACAGCCGGCGTCCAGCAAGTCTTCGCTCTCCAAAGGAAGACTTTGGAGAGCGAAGACCCCGTGATTGATGTCAGCCGCTCCAGATCTGCAGCACGTGCTCGGAGTAACGGCCTTCTCCGATCCCTACGCTCAAAGGGCTCTCAAGTCCCAGGAGTTGACCTTGACGACGCAATGCGCGCGACTGTTTCGGAACACACGCTGACCGGCAACCGCCTTGGACCATACCATGCCGGTACCGAAGTACTTTGGTCACTTTCAGCGTCAGCAGTCAAGAACTACCGGAGCTGTGTGCTGAGAAGCAGCTGGGTGGTTGTATCGAGACGAGGCGGCGGTGGCTCACCATCATTTATTTTCACTGAATGTGTACTCGTCCGCCTTCCAAAATCACTTTCGCACCACACTCATGCCACTTTCTAAAATTGGCTGAGAGGTTGGGGAAGGGGGATTGAGCCAATACATTCGACCTAAGCTAACCCAAGGCATGATTTTTCCCCGGTTTTCGTGTCACTTTATTTGCGTTGCTGGCATAAACGATGTATCTATATTCTTATCTGCGTTCGATTAAAACATCGCGCCGTGGAGAAATTGTTCCCGATTTCCAGCCAATGTTAAGCTGAAATTTGCGACCTGGAATGGGTTATATATTACAGCAAAGCATATCAGCAGACTAGGCCGATATTGTCCCACAAAAAGGCACCCGACTGTTCACCAAATGTAGCCAGAAGCGCAAAAGCAGACGGCTTGATGCAGAGCGGTATGTCCTGACGCATGCGGACAGGAAGCTGCGGAAAATGTTTCGTGCACATTGGTAGAACGTAGGAGACGCCAGATGCTTCCAGCATTATAAAGTAGGGTCCTTATGTTGAAAACAAGCTACCTTCAGGATACCAGGAGGTGCCCGTTAGACGACATGAGCAAGTAACGATTGGTTATATTGAGAACTATATCGACATTTTGAAGATGCGCCCGTGACAACAGCTACCACAAAAAAGGTAATCACCCCAGTCATTCACGTTGAACACTGCGCACGAATTGTCTCAATGTTATTATTCGTCGACGCTCTTCTTCGGTACGGCGAGACGGCAGGTACATCACTGTCGGGGATGTAGTTTCCTGTTCAGCTGGGGCAGGAATTCAACCCCTTCCCCCAACGTTGGCTCCAGCCCACCAGTTTGAGAAAAGTGGACCAAATCCGAGAAGAAACCCGCCCGTCGGCGAATTTAAAGGTGCAAGTTATTTTCTTTCCACGATTAAGCTCCCGCTCCCCAACTCGTTTCTCCGGAACTACGCCCCTGCACCGTATTGTACTTAAAACCCACTGACCCCGCCCTGCATTAAAATTTAGTACACTTCTGAGAAGGCAGTCGTAGTCCACAAACGCGGAGAGCGGCGCGTGTATCGTCTGACCCCCTCCCCCCTAGTCGGGCGAACGTCGTCGCGCCCGCGAGTCCCTTCTTTTCCGCGAAAACGGATACCTGGAACGTCGAGTAAGGTCTGTCACTTAGGCTGCCCATTCTCGGATTAATATTGCGTCAAATTGGCGGAGGAAGAATCGTGGAAAGGTGAAAAAAGATGTAATAAACACCCGTCTATATCTTACGAGCTGCCAGGCGAACGCAGCATATGTAGTACAACGTCATCAGTAAAAATGTCAGGCGAACGGGCGGATGGCGCCATCTCATCCAGCGGTTTGCACGACTTTATGGTAACGTGGGCTAGTAATCCTGGTTTGAAGTCCATGCTCATTCGATCAGCCCTCGATAACCAAACGTGTCAATCGGCTGAAATGAAAAGTGATACCAATAGCGAATTATTCAGGCTCCTAGTTAAGAGAAAATCGACTGGACTTTGAAGCATTTCCTAGGCCAAGTTTTTTTTTTACTTCGCCCACATGCGCAACGGGGATCCGGAGGAGGAGGATGGAGGGGGAGGAGCTCCAGGTAGCACTGTGTGTGTGTGGGGGGGGGGGGGGGGGTCAGGCAACCCCGGGCATAGCGATTGACGCCCCTGCGTACACCGAATCGGAACTCAACAAATAAAAGCCAGTTACAGCATGACATTATTATTACAACGTTACCCTACAACAATTTATCAGCTTCCGTGCTTTGGCTTTCGCTTTTTCTTCTGCGGTGCGCCATCGGCACCCGCTTGCTCCGAGCCCCGATCGCGATGCTTCTGTTTCCCCCTTTTCTTGACCTTGGGAGCATCGTCATCGCTTCCGGGGTCGTCGAGGTCCCCATCCAGTTCCGCTGATTTTACTTCTGACACATCACTTCTCTTCCTTTTCTTCTTCTTCTCTGGAACGCCGGTGGGTTCTGCGCTATCCAGCGCGCCAGCGACACTTGCCAGAAGCTTGGCCTCCTGGGCGAGTATGCGGGCGAGCTTGCCGTCCATCTTGTGCCCGTGCCGAGCGCCCTTGTGCGCCGTCCTTCCGCCGCACGCGGCCAACAGCTGCTCGTCACTCGTCTGCACGCTCACGGACTCATCATCATTCTTTATCGCGACATTATCGACTGGGGCGCCATCTTCTGTCGAGTGGTCCCCATTCAGTACGCCACCGGCGACAAAGTTTTGATATGTGGGGCAAGACATCTTTGCTTTCTTTTTTTTCTTCCTGGGTTTTGCCACTAATTCACAGCCATCTGTCACTTCTGTGACTGAAATGTTTTTAGCGACATTATTGTATGCCTCACTCCACCAACAGTGTGTAAACTCTTTGGCTGGGTCATGGCCAACTCCAGAGGTATCAAACTTCAACTTGGGCTTTAAAGCCTCAGCCATCCCATGCCGCCGTTTGCCCAAACCATCTCCCTCCTGCCAACCAAGCTTCTTGAGATGTTCTTTTGCAAAGTCCATGTTCTACCTGAAAAGATATGGTAATGATCAGTTGAAGTGAGGCTGGATACCAGGCACACCTTAAGCTCAACCAGCCAAAGCTTGTGTGGCTTCAGAAGCATGGCATGGCCCGGTCTGACCCAGCCAGGCACACTTTGGTAGGCTTATATTTCTGGAAACACTTATTGTACCAACATGTAGATTTTAGCAACAAGAAGCATCATTAGAAGTTGTGCTATGATATTTTCCGAGAATGCCATGCATGCTGCATGATCAGGCAAAGTTTTCCTGGAACATTGCAGCACCATGACAACTTCACCTACCCATTCAATTAACACACTGATTAAACTTTTTATGATGAAAAAGCTTTAGATTATGGGTGAAAAAGGATCCTGGACTGAAGAACCCAAGGTTACAGAGACACAAGTAGCTTTGTTAAAAACAAGGTCACAAGAGACATAATTTCAAGGAGGGGAGAATGGACACTTGTGCTAGCACATAAAAAGTTCTGCAAGAGCTGCAAAAGCTGCAGCTGCAAAAGAATGTGCAAAATTTCAGTGCACACATTGCAACTTTCAGATGAGCTGTAACTATTATCTAAAGCAATGTAATAACTCTCAATTCTCCCTCAAATACCATGCCATGTCCAGACAAATGCAAGCATTGAAAACAGGTAATTTTGATAGGGGGAAGGGATAGCAAACCCAGCAAGCATTTTTAAACATTTATTTGCAACATATGAATAGCACATTTGACTAGCACAATTTGCTGTGGCTCATCCCAATTAAAGGTATCCCATTATCAAAACATGACTGTAAAAAACTAAATCATTCCTAACTCAGTACCTCAAATGGTTATAGTGGAAAGGCTGCCCAAGACCACAGCCATGCAATTTTGTTGCAGTGTGCATCTGGCAGTGTCAAGATCAACAAAATGTCAATTACAGGACTTGAACCTGGGGCTGCTGGCTTAAAGTTGAGCATCCTTTCCCCCTCTTAGATGCCTGTCTGCAAAAACCCAGTCTGATGACTGTATCAGCCTGACTCATTTCAGGGTAACTTGGAATTTTTAAACTACTTTTGCCTCATGAAAAAGTGAGATATTTTTGTTAACATTATCACCACAACATCCTACTTTCTTGCAATGTAGGCTTTCCATGCAATGGATTACAAAGCAATCCTCCACCGAGCTTGAAAAACTCAGACTTTTCACATTCTTGTACTAATGTTTTATTACCAAACTGTTGCCCCTACACAGGAATCTGTGTCATAGCATGTATTTCTGGCATTCTGGTATGAAAACAGCACATGAATTGATGAACCTAACCTTCATAGCTGTATCCTGAATAAGCTGTGCACTTATCATCACAAATGTCAGCAAGATACTTGATGACAAAAAAATGTAAAAAGTATGGAATACATCAGCACAAAATGGGAGAAGAGTGAAGCCCCTCTTTACTCATATACTCTTCAGTGCGGTTATTTTCAACATATTGGCAGCCACGTGCATACCAGATTGCAAAAAATGAATTGTACTGTGAGCACGTCTAGCACGGCAGCAGCATGACATGAACAAATGTATGCACACCGTAAGTCTGAGCACCCAGAATTTGGCGCAGGTACTGCCAATTGCAACTCAAAAGGACCCAGTACCTTGAGGGGTTATTATGTTGCAAAGGTAGGTCCACGATACGCATCCGTACAGAAAAAACTCTGGACCTAAAATACAGTCATATGAATAAGTTCCGCGCATCCCACAGGTGCCAAACGTGGTCCCACGTGATCCTCCTCAGCTTCAACACTTGCGCAGCTTTGCAGCCTTTTGCGCAGCTTTCAGCAGCAACCTTGTGATCTCTCAGAACGCATAGGACCACTAAATTATTTATTTCATGAGCAGCCGTCAAAATGTGTGGAGGTGTAAAGAATAATGTGAGGAATATGTTGTATGTATCATTTATTTGCACTTCTTGTGTAATAAAGATACGAATTTAATGTGTCAAAGTATCGTAGTATGTTTGTTACCATGAAAGCTTGCAGCAACACTGCTAATGTGAAATATCTACAGGCCTCTCTGTGCCTCCTATCGGCTTGGGGTTCTGTTCATAGGTTTTACAATTAAAAAGCAACAGACACTGCGTGAGCTATCAAAGAGAAGATACGTAGTGCACACTTGCTACTGAATTTGCGACAAGGACCCGCCTTGTTTATGAATGGCAAAAACTTCTTGAAAGATGTAAACAAACATGGCTGCTTGAATGTTCTTCCGCAATGTAAAAATCAAAACTGACGGTTAGTTTCAACGTTTCGCAGCTTTTAAGTACGAAAACGAGCATTTGTATTTATATCTGGGGAACGTAGGTGTCTTGTATCGGCTTTTTTAAACAGAAAATCGGTCTAAACCTGCACTACGTTTGTGCGGATGGTTCTGGCTAGAGTAAGAAGACGGCAATTCTGGCCCACCACCTGAGCCAGTGTTGCACCGAAATTGTTTGTTGTGTATGTTCGCGATGAGATAATTAGGTAAGAAGTTGACGTTTTTCTTTATAATGGCTCCTATAAATTAGTCTCGCAGGACACAATTGTGTGTTTAGACGGTATCACACCATATTAAGCTTGTGGTACTTATAATTATTACCATTTATATGTGTCCACGATTTCATGAGATAATGCCCACGCCTCACGCAATTAGATAAGTGAGGTGCATTATTCCCACTTTCAGACGAAGTCCGGAGGAATCTCAGCCAAATATACTGAGAGGAGTTTTGGACTAAGTCACTTAAAGGGGTTAATCACGAAGAAATCAAGGTAAGTACATGCTGGAGCTACTTATATTGGATTTTTTCCCCATTTTCCACAGCTGTAGTTATGCAGTCGATGTGTGTTGCGTGTTGCAAGGTGTGTTATGTTAGGAGACAATTACCCATATTATTTTGGGAATCATTTTGATTTCATTTCATTTGATTATTGTATGCTTATGTTTTTGGCTAGGATGATTGCGTACATTCCGCATGACTTAAAACTGGTTCATAGTGTAAGAAAGGAAAGGCCTGTGCATGCTTGCATCATGAACAGCCTTTATAGGTGGCAATAAATATAAATAATGTGTTTTACATCTCAGCTATGGAGTCTCACCAATTGGTGCTAATGTTCTAAAAATGATAGACTGGTTAAGGCAAGCTGAGATTATCTTCAGCTTACCGTGCTGATGCCAGATTAATGATTTCATGATTTATTTAATGCTGCTATGGTCAGTGAACTGATAAATAACATGTAAAATGAACAAAAATCCCTAGACTCAAATTATCTAATGATGGCCAGATTTCCACCCTAGTGGATCTTATCTGTCATATTTATGCATATACCTATCTCTCAAAAACTGTATATGAGCCTGGTTTGGACAAAAAGTGCACACAATATGCACAAGCACATCAAATTCAGCAGTTTAGGTGCACTACTGCAAGTGTAACTATGACTTATGGGACAAAAACTGTTATTTCTGATCAAGCTGCTTAATTGCTGTCATTCCACTTGAAAATCTAGGAATAGTACCAATGAATTTGCATGCTTCTCCCAGGATGTTTGTCTACTGATTTTTGCAAGAAAATAAGTGCTGGTATCATCACAGTCACTCTTGATGTCCTTTGTTGTCTTACTTCTATTGCATATTCTTGCACATTTTCTAGCATAAAAATAGCATGATCCAACATGCAATTGTCACTTGGCTGTGTATTGTTATGCTCATGTATTAATGCCCATGCTTATTTGTCCCAGCGGCTTAGTTCGCTAGAACACCTATCTTCTCATTCACCCACCAACAGCAGGGTGGGTTCAAGCTGCTTTAAGTTCTGAGAGGTTGTGCATGACTGAGATAGAATACACCAGTGGGGTTGTTCACTCTAAATATCAGCTGATGGCAGAAGGTGGGATGAGCCATGCTAAGCATTCTGGCATATTGTCCATGACCAAATTTTGACATGCAAATGGAATTGTCATTTCCCAGTTGCATGGTAGTGTTTGAATTCACTCAACAAGTGCAGTTCATCATTTGGTCGGATCCACAGTATTCACCCAGTCAAATGGTGGAGACTAGATAAAAAATTTAGGTGTACTTAAAGCTTAGTGTATCCCACATCTGCATCATGACTGTTGATTAGCTTCATTCAACATCTTAGAATATTCCATTAACAACCATATTGTGCTATGTGGATGATATTTAAGTAAATTGCAAGGTAAACAAGAGGCAAAATCATACAGAACTGAGTGCAATTATTTCAAGTCTTTCATCATGTGTACAATTTCAGTTACTTTGTTAGTGCATTGTCTTTGAGGTTTCCTTGTGCATTTCTTCTGTTACATAGGCTCTCATGTTTTTGAATACTGATATGTTCTTCTCAATACCTTATAATTTAGTTGTCATATTGCAAACTTCACCTTCTTTCACAATTATTTGGTTAATCATGCATGATCATTTTGTTCAGCAGAATTACTGTTGCTCCATGCCATGTTAATGTGTCATTGCTATAGTTTTGTAGGAATGTCTAAGCTGCAAGGTCTTGTTTGGTAGCTAGTGATATTTTGGCTGTTTGTGGTATCGCATGCTCACACTGTATCTCATTTGTTTCCAGTGTGGTTGATTTCCGTGTTTGGACTAACCACGGGCCATTGGGCGCGAACGCATGCACCGGGACAGGTGGTTGCGTTCCTAACCTGGTTGTGGTGCCAAATCGGGCTAAGCTGGGCTCATCATGCACCGGAGGTGGGTGTTAGCGGGCCAGCCGCCTCCGCTGGAGGGGGTGCACTGTGGGCCTGATGAGGTGCTGCTCCTGAGTGTGGGCCTGATGAGATGCTACACCTGGGCTGGCTCAGTGAGGAGGCCAGCTGTATGGCTGGACATGGTGACGCTGCTCGGGCATTCACTGAGCGTTGGGCTATAAGGTGTCTGGTCTCATTAGAGATATGTACTGCCTTTTCAAAGCAGGAGCTGTTGGGTAACCTGTCAGTAAATGGGTGGGAGGTGGAAAAGAGCTCCCCAAGGAGGGCCTTCAGGGTGCTTGGCTGGTTTTATACCCTTTTCTGAATCCAGGTGTCCATTAATTGTGTGGAGCTTTTCCATTTTGTAGCATTTCATGTACAGTCTCGAAGGGGTACCCCTTGTAAGCTGGATGAAGGAACCAGGTTGCAATTATGAAGTTAATGGATGGTTTCTGTAGCTTGGAGAATGGACACAGTCACCATACAGGATCAGAGGTATCTGATGTCATTCGTTTGGTCAATACACCCCTAAAAGTCTGCATTAAATGCTCCCACATCTTATTTGGCCTCATAGCTCAGTGTGAGACAAAAGTCAAACCTAGGAGGGCCCAGGCCCTTATTCTATTTTTATATATTTATTACTCTGAAGTAAGCACATCATTGGTCATATGGGAGGGCTGTGCCAGTGTGTGCTTTTATGTCAGACATGGATGGATGATGTAGCATCAACACATAGTATGATTTTGGATGGTGTGCCTCCACTGTACATTGCCTATGCTTTCTTGCTTTGAAAGATCAGTGTGATTGTTAATCAGCATACTTTGTAATGCTTTATTCTTGTTGGTAAGATGCAGTGGATCGCTTTTGTTCATGCAGTTCATGCAGTTTCCCTATAGCAGGATAGCAAGCCCTTTTATGCTGATGTAGCCTGCGTTTCGCTCCCTCCACGCTAGACCCCACGCTCTGACTGCTCACGCACGCGGCTGGTGCTGTCGGGCGTTGTCTGCCTGTGCGTGTGTGTGTGACCCGCGGGCCGGCCGGGTCCCGTGTGTGTGACGGCCGCTGCGTCCGCGGCCGCCGGCAGGTCGTCGGGCGGCCGGTTGGCGCAGGAGCTCGCGTCTCCGCGGAGTCCCGGCGAGGTGGCCCTCCAGCGCGACGTCATCGTGCACCGCGACAACTCCGGCTACGGCTTCACCGTCTCCGGCGACACGCCCGTCTCCGTGCTCAGCGTCAAGCCCGGTGAGTGGCCCGGCGTCCGCCGCCGTGTCTCCGGAGATGCTCGCGTCCCCCTCAGTTGGCCGGGTGACCGCCCACCGTCGCGTCCCAGAGGGCTTCGTGAAGACTTCCGTGACGTGGCGCAGGGCTGCTCAGTTATGCTTCGTACGTCTGACCTTGGCGTCCTCGGCGGTATGTGGAGGGATCTACAGGTGTCTGGTGTGTCTGGCGTCGCGTTAGCAGCTGCCCCGTTTCTATAGGTGTATCCGAGCGTAACTGGCCGGGATGATGTGTCGGTTTCTCATCACATGCTTGTCCTCCGTGGTGCGGGGGACTCTGCTCTTGGCTCCGTCCTGGGTGCGTCCGTCCTCGCTTCGAGCGTGGGGCAAACAGGCATACGACTGTGCTGCATCTCGCGATCTGTGATATGGATGGGGGGGGGGGGGGGGTATTCAGCAGACTTGTTCTGGATTCGACGGATAGTCCGAATCCAATTTATGAGGTAGCCGAATCGGGCTCGATTCGAATCTCTCGCCTCTGGCGAGATCCAAAATTGAAGCGTCGCTAAAATTGCAAGCAATTGCGGTTTTAGTGTCTGAGGAAAACGAATGACAGAATACATGGCACATTCTTTTATAATCAATTGAAGCTAGTTTAATCTAATTTTGACGCAACGTATAACTTGAATGAAAACAGCAGGTCGTAGCGCGCATTAGAGGTGTGCTGGGCGAAAAAGGAATAGACAAAACATTTACGGGTATGTGCCATGCCAAAATCTGTCAACCCCAGATGTCTGGACGAACTCTTGGCGTTTTAGGGAATGTTGACATTTCC